TTAATATTTATTTTCTAGTTCTTGGCAGACACAACATCTTTGTTTGTATGTGGTGCTGAGGATCGAACCCGGGCCACACGCATGCCAGGCGAGCGCGCTACCGCTTGAGCCACATCCCCAGCCCTCATAGCCTATTATCTTGTAATTCAATTTCAAATTATATATAAATCCAAGAGAAATTCTTGCACATATATACATGAAGAGATATACACAACAATGTACACTGCCCACTGTTTTGTTTTTTTGGTACATTTTCTGAACCCAGGAGCGCTTACGCACTGAGCTACTTCCCCAGTCCTTTTTATTTTTTGAGACAGGATCTCACTAATTTGCTCAGGGCCTTGCTAAGTTGCTGAGGCTGGCTTTGAACTTGTGATCCTCCTGCCTCAGCCTCCTAAAACTTTGGAATTCTAGGTGTGCACCACCATGCCCAGCTGCACACTGTTTATAACAGAAAACTGAAAGCATCCTAAATTTCAACCAAGAGTTGAAGGGATAACAAAAGTTTCTGTGATCCTGGAAATGTTCTCTAGCTGTACTGTCCCATAACCACTAGCCACAGATATCCACTGGACACATGAACAGTGACTAGTGTGATTGGGGAATTTAATTTTTCATTTTGTCTAATTTGAGTCCAAAAAGGCATGTGTGGCTACCTTATCAGACAGCATAGCTGGGAAACAGTCAAAATAAAAGAACTAGAGCTACATACATTTTTCAACACAGATAAATTTCACAAACATAATGTCGGATTAAAAACTGAAAAGTTTCAACTAGGAAGGCTGGGACTAGGAGGGAGGGTGAAACAAGGGAAGTGACCAGGATGGAGTTGGAGGCACTCTCAGGCTAGGGGTTGTGCCAGCTGCGGGCTGGGTGCTACATGGCCATGAGAATACGCAGCTCCTTAAATTTTAAGTCCCAGGGGCCTTTGCTTGCCTCATCCCAGCACTGGCTCCGCCAGAGAAAACCCAATATGGTACTACCCCAGGGACCCAAGACTACCAGGAGCTGGAATGACTCACCAGGACTCACAGTGCTGAGCACAGTGGACTACGCTCAGCAACGACCTAGAACAGTGAAAGGACCCAAAGCACAAAGGGAAGGTGCATGGGGTGAAGTACAAAGGAAACCAGGCGGACTCCTCTTTGAGTACACAACACACTTAATTCCCACAGCAGATTCATGACTGCATGTGTGACACGCTGCCTGTCAGGGAAGCTCACTGGAATCTCGGGGACCAGGGTATTTTTGAGGGCTAATCATGTACCAAAATTCCAGACTCCAGAAGGAAAGCAGGTGTTTAACATAAGGGACATGGTTTGACCAATAGCTGAGGCCACCATTATAGAAAGGTGGGAGCCTTCCTGAGATCTAGGTTCCCAGGTATCAGCCAAGGGCCCAACTTACAAAGAGGCCTTTCTAAGGACAGCCAGCTCAGGTTGCTAATTAAGTGTTCTCTGCATAGACTTGACTTATATAAACTGTAGAAATCACAAACAGTGCCATATATTGTTCAAAGACACACACACACAAACATATATGAATATGTACAAAACAAACAATGAATGAAGACAAGGGAAGAGGAATGCATTTGAGATAAGGGTATACAAAGCCCTATAATTGCATCTCTAATGTTTTACCTCTGAAGCTAGCAATGAGGGAGTATTTTGTTATATTTTTTTTTCTTGTACTTCTCTGTGTGTGTACTTGAGGTGTTAAGAAGACTAATGAAGACTTACTGCTTATTACTATGGACCACTGCAACTTGTATTTGGAGGAGTGCTTTTCACACTGCAAGTACGATGCTGAGCCCTTTATATATCTCTTTAAAAATCTACTGAGACTTTCTTCGTGCCAGGTCCTATGCTGAACTCTGGAGATACAACACTGAGATATGCAAGTGAGCCAGGTTGATCTCTGTTCTCAACCATCTTCCTGACCACTGAGGGCTGATGAGATGATGAGCACAGTTATTGAAAAACCAACATAAATGTGGATTCTGATATGTGCTTCTAAGATAATACAACAGGGTGAGTGGCGAAAAGGTGGACTGGAAAGGCTTCTTTGAGAGGGACACTGAGCTGAATCCTACCTGACAACGAGGCAGCATACAATCATGTGGGGGAAGCACATTCCAGGTACAGGGAACAGCAAGTGCAAAGCCTGGCAGCAGGAATGAGCTTGGTGTGTTGAAAGGCAGGAAATAAAGCTAGCAGGGCTTTGAGTGGTGACAAGAAGGAGGCTGGGAGACGAGGCCCAAGAGGTTAGCTGAGGCCACTGTGCAGGGCCTCCTAAGCCATAGTAAAGATCTTAGTTTTCATTCTAAGTCGGATAAGGCTTTGAAGGTTTTAAGAAGGGTAATGACATGATAGGTTTACAACTGAAGATCAACTAGCTAGCTGTATTAAGAATGAATTATGAACAGGGACATTTTCTTCATTAGCACCACAGACATAATGCTTATGGCTGATAAGCTATCCTGGGGGTATAAAAAGTTTGAGGCCAAGGATAAAGGAAAAACATTCCACAATGTAAAAGGAAAACTACAAAGTTGAAATGAATAAATGTTTAATTAAACGTCTAGAAAACATCATGGCAGCTTCGTTCACCATTCAATCTAGTACTCAGAAACAAATTAGGAAATAATTTGTAAATGAGATAGTATGTCCAAGATTACCAAGAAATCAAGGCAATTAGAAGCTAGAGTTTTCTTTCAGCCATATCTCAAAAGAAAAAAAAATGTCTAAGAATCCAAAACATTTTAACTTAAAATGAGATGTACATTTGAAAAAGAAAAACTGCCTAGCACTATGAGGCCTTAGACCCTAGGGAGACCACACGAGTCCAGATAAGAGATGACAGTGGCTGGGATCCGTGCCTCTGAGGTTTACACCCTGTAAGGAGACAAGGTTTAGGGGGTACTCTGGGAAATGGACCTCTGATCAGAGAAGCCTAAATGAAAAGGCTAACAGCTGGGAGAAGAGGTTCTGGGTAGAGGCTCTGCATTGGGAGTGGTCTATCTGATTTGTAACTATTTTATGGTCTACCACTGAGATATGCCCCCGGCCCTGCCTTGTCAGATTTTCAACAAAAAGATTAGTTTGGCTGATTTGAAGTTGGGGCCAGGTGGTGAATGGGAAGCAAGGCCCTGAAGACCATGTCTCATCCCTGGAGTGACCCAGATCTGCACTGTCCACTCCTCAAAGGGGCTCATGAGCACCCAACTGGGGCTAGTGAAACTGTAAAACGAAACTTTCAACTACACTTAGAATTCTAACTAAACTGAAATTTAAATTATAAAAACCCATATTCAATTTGAGCTCACAGAAGACTTTCTAAGTTATGTTGGGAACAGCTGGGGCACATTATATTTTCAACTGTAAATTTTATGAAACCTAAAAAGCCACTATTTCCAAAGAAAATGGAGATTCACATGCCTGATTTCAGTTTTGATGTAAAAGACACACGGAACTGGGGAGTGGTTGTGACGCTTGGAGTTGGAGGCCAGCTTCAGCAACCTAGCAAAGGCCCTAAGCTATGTAGTGATACATTCTGTCTCAAAATAAAAAGGACTGGGGATCTAGCTCAGTGGTTGAATACCAAAAAAAAAAAAAAAAAAGGACACATGAGACCTCAAAGACTTCCCCTTGAGTAAAAGGATGCAAGACATCTTCATCAATATTAATACTGATCACACGCTGAAATCACATTTTGGTGATATTGGATTAAATAAAGTACGAATTTCACCTGACCCTTTTCTTTCCTTGTACACATATGTGATTACTGGGGCTGAGGCGGTGGCTCCGTGGTGCAGCGCTTGCCTTGCACGTGGGAGGCCCGGGGCTCCACTCTCAGCACCGGGTATAAGCAAAATAAAGGTCTATCAACAACATATTTATGTGTATATAATATAAATGCACTCAAAAATATGTCTTAAAATAAAAATATGTGATTACTAAAAAAATGTAATATTGGCGTTACTTGGCCACTGGTCACCCGTGGGGAGCCTGGCAGGGGGCGGCGGTCCGTTTCTGGTCACATTATGCAGTCATGAAGCCTGCGGTGAATTTTCACTGTCGCCCCTTCCCTGGGCAAGGAAACGTCACCTCGGGGGCGGACTGGCAGAGCCCAGGCTCGAACACTGGTGTCCCCGAACTCGAACTCCAATTTTCAGTAGTGTCCACCTGAAACCTCCCCATTGCCCTCGAGGGGGATTCGAACCCGGCCCGACTCCCGACGCCCCGGGCACCAGCGCGCTGCGTTACCCCCGCTCCATCTCCCCCGAGGGGTGCGTCAAACGTTCACAACGTTCACAACGGACTCCCAAGCAGCTGGGCCTCCGGGCAGGAGACTCTCGGAGCAGACCCCAGCTGCCATCACCTGCAGACAAGTGCCTAGGCCGCCGATATTCCTCTCTCTCCACACCGCGTTCAACTTCGCCGGCGCCCAACTTCCGCTCCCCTCCGGCAAATCCCTAACCAAGCTTTCCTCTATTCCCGCCCCCCGCAGCCAACCGAGCCAATCAGCTCCCCAAAACCTGCTTTATGCTCCCTCCCACTCTCCTTTGCCAATCACCGCGAGCGCGAGAACCGCCCTTCCCGCCTTCTTTAGCGAGCGCCGCGCGCCACCGCTTGGCGGTTGGCAGCTCTGCTCTGCACTGACTGCGTCTTCCGGAAAGGCGGGGCGAAGGGCGGGCCACTCTACGCTGGTGCGGGAACCCTCGGGATTGGCCGAGAGAAGTTCCGCTCTCTGACTCCACCCACCCCTGCGCTTGACAGCCGAATCCCAAACACTAGGGATTGGTTCCCGGCGGAGACTCTTAGAAGTCTAGAGTTGGTCCCGCCTCCCTAGCCCGACGCGAAGAGGGAGCTTCTCTCATTGGTGCGGGGAGTCTGGGCGCGCGCCGTCCCGCGCTCCAGAATTGGCTGACGGTGTGCTCGCGCCGCCGGGGAGCGTTGACGCTGATTGGCCGGAGGGTGGGGCCGGCTATTTGAAGGCAGCGCGCGGACGGGGTGCGCTCTTCAGTCGGCGGAGAGGGGCGGCAGGAGCGGTGGCTTGTGACTCTGCTGACTGCCTCCCGTCTACCACCTCCCCCCCGCCTCCGCTCAAACCGGACGCAGACGCGAGCTCCGCTGCAGCCGCAGCCGCGGCCCGGCGAGGTGATGGCCAAGGTGTCGGTACTGAACGTGGCGGTGCTGGAGAACCCAAGCCCTTTCCACAGCCCCTTCCGGTTCGAGATCAGCTTCGAGTGCAATGAGGCCTTGGCGGACGGTGAGGCTGGGCCTTGCGGAGACCCCCACTCCCCATCCCTGGGCCGACCCCGACCTCCCGTGAAGAGCCGCCCTAATGGCCAACCCGATCGCCCCTTGATCCCCCCGCCCCTACAGCCAGCCCCACCTCGCCTGGGAGACCACCCCCCCACCCCCACGAATTCTCACCTCCCGGTGACCACCTCTTACCCCATTGTCCACCCCCGCCACAGTTACCCCTCATGTGGAGACCTCATCTCCCACCCCACCCCGTGGCGCTCCTCCCAGGCACCAATCCGTTGTCTCCGTGGGGACCCCAGCCTCCATTTGTTAATCCGGAGACACTCAGCCACCCCATCATCCCTATGGAAGACCCCATTTCACCCGCCCCGGTTTTCTCTTAGAGACCTCCCCTCCCGTCCTCTCCCCTGTGATGAGACACTCACCTCCCTTTTTCCCAATGGAGACTCCAACTCCTAGTCCTCCTCTCACCCAACTCCCTCACTTTTTCCCCAAGTGAGACCCTCCCCTCTTGTCACCTCTTTTTTCCTGTGAAGACCCCTCTGTCCCATGGCAAGACCTTGTTCATCCCAGAGATTCCTTATCCAACCTGCTAATATTTATAAACAACTCCACCTCTTTCCCCAGATAAGTACTGCTTGTTGTCTACCCCAGTGTATATAACCCAGTGCATATACCCAAGAACTAGGCTTTTCTCGTTAGTCTGGTCCTATTCCCCCATACCCAAGCTTCTCCTGAGGAGGGATGATGGGGTCTCTAACTCCAGTCTTTTAATGCCTTGGTCTCCCCAGCTTGGGTGCTTTCTGGGCTCCTCTCTACCTATGGGCTTGGATGAACACACACAAATCTGAAGGGTGGCATAGCCAGGCAGGCAGGCATTAGGCAGGAATTAGCCAGTTCCCAGAGGTTTCCCCCCAGGTTCCAGCTGACTTACTGCAACCAATTCTTCATAGTTTTTGATGGTCTGACCTAGTCTGGGCAGTGGGTGGACTGGACCAAGCCAATGTGATTTAGCTTCAAACAGTCAGCTGGCAGGTCACACCCTTTTGTGCATCTTTCCCAAGGTGCTTTCACAGAATGACTTATTCATCTATGCCACATAAAGGTGGACATGGTTCTCATCTCACAGATGAGAAGAAAGGAGCCACAAAGAGCAAAAGATCTTTGAAATAGAGGTCTATGCACATCCAAAATCTAAGGTCACCTAGGGAGCCTTGGCACCACTATAAGGCAAGTCCTGCTTTCAGGAGGAAGTACTCCATTAGACCATCTCACTACTGGTGGCTAAAGAGGTAGCAGGTGAGGAGGTGGAGATCTGTGAAGTTGCAGTGTGCTAACTAGCACCTCTCTGTGGCAGGTGGTTGGTTTGTCAGAAAAACTGAGCACTTGGATTAACTTGGAGCTGGTATAGTAAAATGTGTGTGCCCTTGGGTAGGCCAGTTGGTAAGCTTCTCCCTGGTTTCTTTCACTCCTTTTTAAATTAAGGAGTCTGCTTGTGACTAACTATAGAATAAGCCCAGTTAAATCCTTTCTGGAACAAGGCAGGGTGTAAATAAATAAATAAAGTGTAGAATGACACTGTGGAGTAAGATTTAATTTAAAAGCCAGGAGGAGATGTAAGGAGCTAATAGGTTAAGGGATTCACAGTTCCCAGATGGCAGGAGATCAGATTTCAATCAGCCTGTTTGTGCTTCTTGCTTTTAAAATTGGTTGCATGGTCATTACATAGTACTTTTATTCCTTATTTATAGAATCAGAGCAGGGAAGGCTACAGTCAACCTGCTGATCATTTTTTAATAGGAACAGTGACTTCAAGTCTCCCAGTCTGTTTGTAGATGTGTTGACATTAGAGCTTGCTGTGAGTTCTGAGTCCAGATTCTTTCTCTCTGTTCAATCCTGGAAAAGGAAGAAAACATTCATTTCTGGGAGGGGGGTACTGAGAATCAAATCCAGGGTGCTCTACTAGACACTGAGTTATATCCCCAGCTCTTTTTATTTTGAGACAGGGCCTTGCTTAGTTGCCGAGGCTGACCTAAAACTTGTGATCCTCCTGCCTCAGTCTCCTGAATCACTGGAATTACAAGTGTGCACCACTTTTCTTTCTTCTTCTTTTTTTTTTTTTTTTTGGTGTTAGGGAATTGGACCCAGGGCCACATGCATATTAAATATTAAGCACATGCTCTATGGCTGAACTGTATCACCAACCCAACATTGCCTATTTTAGAGGTGAGGCATAAGTAAAAATGACCATAAAATTTCTTGCCAAATCAAGACTCAAAAGACATAATAATATGGGGTGTTATTACTAATTAAACTTGGGCAAGAAAGCTTTTCCTGAGAACTTCCAGGTGGGAATCCAGACTCTCTAGTTCCAGCTCTCCATGACTGACCTACTGGCTTGTTTTTTTCCTCCTCACAGTCTTCTTTCTGTGAAGTATAGAGAACCCATTTCTTTCCTTCCTTTCAGTGCTGTTAACTGAACTCTTAAAAAAACCTCATCCCCAGTTGGGGAAGGTGGCACAGAACACCCAGTGAATCAAGAGGATTGTGAGTTCCAAGTCAAGCTTTGCAGCTTAGCAAGACCCTGTTTCAAAAAGTGGAAAAATGACTGGGGATGTGACTCAGTGGTAGAATACCCCTGGGTTCAATCCTCAGTACTGCAGAAAACCCTCCAGCTCCTAGTCAGGTGATTCTCATTTCCTAAGAGCTCTAAGCCTCTTATGCTCTCCTCTCAACATCTGGAAATGGATGGCTTCAAGGCATATGTCTATGTTTAATACATTAGGTATGCTTTGTCCCCCTTTTGAGAAATTCAATAGGCATTAGCTGAATAAGTCATAGAAACCAGATGTTCTGACCCAGAGCTTATACTCTGTGGTAAGACATAGTTTCATCTGTGTGATTAGGAACAAAGACAAAATGATGAACAGAAAAAGGTTCTACTAGATAACATTTAAAAAAGAAATAAAGCCAGGTATGGTGACACATACGTGTAATCCCAGATACTCTGGAGACTGAGGCAGGAGAATCACAAGTTTGAGGCCAGCCTGGGCAACTTAGTGAGCCCTGTTTCAAAATAAAAAGTGGGGAGGTAGTTCAGTAGTAGAGTGCTTGCCTATCATGTGTGAGGCCCTGGGTTTAATCCCCGGCACCACAAAAGAAAAAAGTAAGAAAGAGAGTCTCCAACTGGTTTAGCCACAGTCATTTTTTCCATATTGTTGTTTATATTGTCAACACTGGTTTTGTCTTCATACATAGAGGAGGTGTATCTTGTGCAGTAGTCAGCTCGAAAAGCTAGAACATTGAGACAAAAGGTAATCCTGCAAAGTTACCCTTCAGCATTGTTCTGAAGCTTAGGTATACATGATACATGTCTGTGGTTTTATTCTATATTTTAATAAGTATAAGTTGATGTTACGTGAGGAATTCATATCCCATATCTAATTCTGAAGAGAGTTTATGTAATCTTCCTAAGGGTTGGTTCTAGGACCCACTCAGGTACCAAAATCCACAAATGCTCAAGTCTTTTACATAAAATAGTGTAATATTTGCATAGAACATCCTCCATATACTTTAAATAATCTCTAAAGGATTTATAATACCTAATACGTTATACATAATATGGAAATAACTGTTATGCTGTATTGTTTAGGGAACCATAACAAGAAAGAACAGTCTGTATATATTCAATACAAACGTTTTTGGGGTGTGTGTATTTGTGGTGCTGGGGATGGAACCCAGGGTCTCATGAATATTATTAGGCAAGTGCTCTACCACTGAGCTATACTTTCCATTTGTGGTTGGTTGAATCCATGAATGGTGAGGGCTAGTTGTATTCAGAAATGAAGTCCGTTAAGTATGCCCCTCCTTAAATCACAACAGTGAAGGTAAGACAGTTCCATTCAGAGCCTCTCATGTCAGTCATCTCCTATCTTCCATAGATGGTTTTATCAGCACATCTCACTTAGGAGTTGGTATTTCTCTGTGGCCTTCAGTTCATTCTCCTGTTTCTCTCTGGCTTGTGTCATTTGCCTCTGGCCCACCATACATTCTTTAGATTGGCTTCCACTTTTTTTTTTTTTTTGGTACTGGGGATTGAACTCAGGGGCACTCGACCACTGAGCCACATCCCCAACCCTTATTTTGTATTTTATTTAGAGACAGGGTCTTACTGAGTTGTTTATTGCCTTGTTTTTTGCTGAGGCTGGCTTTGAACTTATGATCCTCCTGTCTCAGCCTCCCAAGCCGCTGGGATTACAGGCGTGGGGTACCTGATCTGGCAGCATCCACGCATTCTTTGTTTAGGTTTTGCTAACACATATTGATTTGGACTCAACATCAAGTACCTTCAGTGCGTTGGAGGCTTCTCTATTTCAGGCTCCTTTTTGCCTAATCCTTGCCCCAGCACATTAAATAAATGCATACATATATGTGACTCCACTAGTAATGAGGAAAAGCTTGAAAAAAACAAAATAAGGGGCTGGGGCTGTAACTCAGTGGTAGAGCACTCGTCAGCATGTATGAGGCACTGGGTTCGATCCTCAGCACCACATAAAAATAAATAAAATAAAGGTGTTGTGTCCATCTACAACTAAAAAAAAATAAAATAAAAAATAAAAGAAGCCAAAATAATAGTGTTAGAGTGAGAGAGCACTAGCTTGTTTTTCTGTCCTTATAACAAATTTTTATTCCATTCATACCGCTACTCAACAAAATTAAATCCTGGGGATGGAGTTCAGTGGTAGAGCACTTGCCTGCATGTGCAAGGTCCTGGGCTCAATCCTCAGCACTGCAGAAAGTAAATAAATATAAGTCCATAAGCTTAACTTCCTCCCTGCAAATAATAAGAGGCTGGCCTTTGAACCCCAGGAAGCCAAATGGTCACCCATATTACACAGACCTAGGGTTCCTGAGTAGAAGGGACTGGGTGAAACTGCAAAGGGACAGGAAGTGGGTGTATCGAGGAAGGAGTTGGGGCTCAAGTGACAAATCTCTGTAGTCATGGCTTCCAAAGTTGGATGTTTGTGTGATGCTGGACCAAGGGACAGGGCAGCTTCCTGTGAAAATCACAGCTTGTGAAACTTCCCCCAGCTGCTGGAGCTGTGGGTTGTGTAATTTCAAAGAACCTAAAATAAGTTTCACGTCTCCTGCCAAGCTTCCCTGTACTAGCATGACCTTGCCCCTGGTACACTTGGACCTCCTGCAAAAGGCAATGGTCACTGGGACTTGATTGACAGGCAGGGTCTCCTTAAGTGTTTTTTCTTTAAACTCTTCTGATCATACTTGGGCATCCCCCTACAAGATGGGATGCAGAGAGTTAGGAGTGGAGGTTAATCCTGTGATGCCACATTTACTGACTGAACCCTGTCACCCAAATAGCCATAGTAGGCATGACTTGATGCCCAGTCTGGAAGACCTGTAGATGGGCTGGCTCCCCTAGCAGCTTCACCTTGCCCCTCCTGCCTCTTGGCTGTCCTGCCAGATTGGAATCTGCTGCCCTGTCCCAGTTGTCGAGGGATCCACTCTGTTCAGTGGCACCGGTCCCTGTGTGTGAAAGAGGATGCTGCTTCCTATCTCAGCACCCAGTGGGCAGGGCCCTGAAATGGCCCAGCTCCCTGCTATTCCCTTCTCAGCACGCCTGGGTCATGTGGCTCTTAATTCAGCCTCTGCCATACGGGTTCACTCGCAGGCTCTAAGAGACCCAAGTTCCCCCCAAGGTCCAAAGTCAAGGTCATCTGGCAAAGCTAGACCCACAGGAGAAATGTCCCCACTGGAAGTAGAGCTTCAGTCTGTCCCAGCATTCAGTACCGTAGTACCTGCACTTAGTACCCAGTGTATACCAGTTCTTAGAATCTTTGAATATGTAAGAATCTTTCCAAAACTAACATGAGAAGACCCTTTTCCTGCCTTCTTGTTGTTGAGCTATATCAGTTCCTTAACCCTTGTTCCCGCCATGTCCTTGTAGACCTGGAATGGAAGATCATTTATGTTGGCTCAGCTGAGAGTGAGGAGTTTGATCAGATCCTAGACTCGGTACTGGTTGGCCCTGTCCCCGCAGGAAGACACATGTTTGTCTTTCAGGTAAGAAAGATAACAGCTTAGCCCTTGACTTTTCGAGACATGGCGGTAGGGGGTGCACTGATGGAACCCAAGGCCCTACACATTAGGCAGGCACTCAACCACTAAGGTCTGCCCTCAGTTTAGAAACATCTTTTACCTACCTGAAAGCACACAGTGTGATTCAGCAGTCAGAAGGTCACATCCAAATCCTCACTCAGCTCTTAGAATCTGTCTGACCTCTCGGATGTCCTACAGACAACTCCTTCCTACCCACCTGTGTGTCTCACTTGTTGCCATGAGCCACCAATTCTTTTTATTCAGTTCTTTTTATTCACAGCAGTCATGAATAAAGTCACCAGGAATGCTAAATTAGTGAAACCCTAAGGGAAATACAGACTGAGGTTCAAATTGCATTTCATCAACTTGTCAATGTGTAACCTTGTTTCATGTGTTTTTGTTTTATCATACCTTATTTAATATATATTGTTGATTCGTTAATATGTAACCAAACACTATTATAACTCATGTCTGAGTGACATTTAATACAAATTATCTTCATAAGACCTTCTTACACCCTAGGAGGCAGTTCAACACTGTATTTCAGGGTCCCACCCCCCTGGTATTAGGGATTAACTGCAGGGCCCTGTGCGTCCCCAGCTCTTTTTTTAAAAATTTAAGACAGGATCTTGCTAAGGCTGGCCTCAAACTTGTGATCCTCCTGCCTAAGCCTCCCAAGTAGCTGGATTACAAGAATGCATCACTATGCTCACTTTGGGGGTCATTTTAAAACAGCAAACTCACACACAAAAATATGCAGAAAACATGGCACCAAAAGGGCTTCCATAAGGCTGGGGATATAACTCAGTGGTAGAATGCCTGCCTAGCATGCATGAAGTTCAGTCTACTGCAAAATAAGGGCCCTCATTCTCAGTAAGAGAACTAAAACAAGAAAGCAAGAGTGTTATCTCATTTGGCCTCAGGTTGGAACATGGACATTGGGTGACCAGTTTTTACCTGTTCTGTGTGTATCTGCAAATGACTGAAAGCACCACAAATGTTGGTTTTGGGGTTACAAATAACTTAACAAGTAGGCAAATTAGCAAATACAGAGTCTGTGAATATGAGGATGAATGGTAACTCCCAAGTAGCCCTCTAATACAGCATCACCTAACTTGTCAGCCATGCAGATTCTAAGTTCTCCATATGATTCTTAGGAACACTAACGTTTGAGAATCCATTCACTTACCTCCTTTTCAGCTATTACCCCCTAATCCAAACTGCCACATCCCTTAACCCTCTCACACACCTCTACTAAATCAACCAACAAACTCATCTGTTCTACCCCAAACCAGGGCCAGCTTCTTGGGCATGTGTCCTGGGCAGTTGCACAGGGATCCGTGCTTGTAATGTTCTGTCCCCATCTGAAACTTGAATAGTTTTTGTGTAAGGAGCCCCTCTTTTTTCCTTTGCACCAGGTATAGCCCATCCTGTCCACAGCAGCATACCCCGAATCTGTGTGCTCCTATCCTCCATAGCTGGGTCTAAGCCTGCTGCCTTTCTCTCTCAAGATGACTCCAGCCTGGCCTCCCTGCTTCTAGTACAGCCCTCTACCTATTCCACATCCCACACCACCAGTCTTCTGTTCAAACCCAATGTATGATGTTGCCCTTACCTCTTGCTGAACAGTGCTCTTTTCCAGGCTCCCCGTTGGCCCAGCAGGCACTGGGTGGCCTGGTGTCTTCTGATCTCCTGCCACTCTTCCCTGGCTCATCACTTTCCTTCTGGGCACCCCTTTCTCTCCTTATTACAGTCACTGTTGTTTAAATTGGTTTATTTTTGCAGTGCTGGGGATGGAAACCAGGTCCTCATGCAGGCGAGGCAAGTGCTCTACCACTGAGCTACATCCCTATCCCACAGTCATCAATTCATAGTCATTTCTATGATCAGTTCTGTCTAATCCCATTCTAGTGAAAGCCCCTAAGGGCAGAGCGCTTACTTTTCTGCTCAGTAAATACAGGTCACTTGAGGGTTGGGTATATAACTCAGTCACAGAGTGCCTAACCTACATGAGTCCCTGGGTTTAGTCCTTACCACCACAAATAAAATAAATATAGGTCACTTGGGAATCTTCCTATTATGACTATGGAAGTACTAAGACACAGAATGTCTCCCTCAGGCTGATGCCCCCAACCCCTCCCTCATCCCTGAGACTGACGCTGTGGGCGTTACTGTTGTCCTCATCACCTGCACCTACCACGGACAGGAGTTCATCCGTGTGGGCTACTACGTCAACAATGAGTACCTCAACCCAGAGCTGCGGGAGAACCCACCCCTGAAGCCAGACTTTTCTCAGGTGGGGCCTCCACACTTCTTGCTGCAAGCACATCAGTTCTCTTGCACTGGAGGGGAGTTGAGCCATTAGAATTGGGAGCCAAAGTTCTCTTAGGTCTTTAAATTGTGCTTTGTTCTGCAGTGCTGAGTGGGGGGAGAGAGAAAGGTCTTTGCAGCTCAGAGGCATACCCTACAGAATTAGGACCAGATGGGTCCCACACGTAAGCACTAGTGTGCAGGTAGTCCCTGGAGTTTGACACAGGGTCACTGGAAGGGATGGAAGAAGTAAAGTCTGCTTCTTCTTCTTCTTCTTCCTTTTTTTTTTTTTTTAAGAGAGAGTGAGAGAGGGGAAAGAGAGAGAGAATTTTAAATATTTATTTCTTAGTTCTCGGCGGACACAACATCTTTGTTGGTATGTGGTGCTGAGGATCGAACCCGGGCCGCACGCATGCCAGGCGAGCGCGCTACCGCTTGAGCCACATCCCCAGCCCCAAAGTCTGCTTCTTCTTCTTCTTCTTCTAAGGCAGAAGTTTAGAGGGTGTCCTGGCTCTGTGGGAGGAATGAGGGGGCATGATGACAAGGATTGACATTCTTCTTCCTGCCCCCCAGCTCCAGCGGAATATCTTGGCCTCGAACCCCCGGGTGACTCGTTTCCACATCAACTGGGACAACAATGCAGACAGGCTGGAGACCATAGAGAACCAGGACCCTGTTCTGAGCTGTGGTCTTCCCCTCAGCTGCACCCCTGTCAAGGGCCTAGGCCTCCCTGGCTGTATCCCTGGCCTTCTCCCTGAGAACTCCATGGACTGCATCTAACTGTGGGAAGCCAGGCCCTGGCTGCACTCAGCCAGGACCACAGCCAGTCACCTGGCATACCTGGAGGGGGCCCCAGGCCTCCCAGAGAGTCGTGTGGGGTCATCTCAAGGATTTTGGAGCCCTCCAGGCCTGTCTAACTTGGCTCCGAAGAAAAAATGGGCACCAGGTCTCTTCCAGCCTCTGCCCAGAAGGATCATCTCACCTCCACCGCACAGGCCTATAAGAAGCAGGTACTTCGTTGTTCATTCTTACTGACTCGTGTTTTTCCTCTTCCACACACACTATAAATTCCACCTGCAGGCCATTGTGCCACTAGCTCCCATGAGTGCTTTTGACCCAAAGCTCTTCCTGCCTTGAGGCTCTGTCAATCCCTGGCAAGGCTGTGGCCCTGTTGGGCTAAGGGTGCTATCATTTCTCTCCCTCTCCAACATCTGAGCAGATCAGCTTTCTGGTGTCACAGGCAAGGAATCCTGGTTACGGGATTCAGATAACAATTTCTGTCCTTCTCCCGGGAGTATTTTTAGGTTTTTAAAACCCAGCAGCCCCTAGAAAACTCGTTTCCCACCAGTGTGATCATCAGGATGCTGAGGAACAATGGGTCTCTCTCTAAATCACAGCCACCTTCCTGTCATCTCCTAACCTGTCTGGCTTGTCTTGGAGGCTGCCCTAGGAGGCTGTGTGCATTGGAGGGCTTGCTGTCTGGCGCAGGGTTGCTCTGTAGACCTTCGCCCCTGGCTGCCTTGGTCTTCTCTCTGCTAAGACGAATGCTTTCATAGGCCACAGAGTGATTTTGGGCAAGGGAAACCTTCAGCACCCTGAAAACATTCCCTCCCTGACCTATGTCTCTGTCCCTCGCTGCTATGTGGATGCTGTTGTGATTACAGTTTGTATATTAAAGGGTTTTTATATTAAAAGTGTTTGGTTGCTCTAAAAATAAAAAGCACTTCATCTAGACTGCCTCTTCTGCTTTTGACTCAGGTGGGCTGGGGCAGCTTCATTTCCCTCCTCATGCGCTCTGATGGGGCCTCTTGTTCTGTCCTATGGGGTGGCTGGCCCTTCTCCCTTTGCTCAGTGTCCTAATGCCAGTCTTGGAGTTGTATCCCAGACTGAAGGTCCAGGAGGGGTTTTTCTTTGTCAAAACTTAAGCAAACCAGCTGTTCTGCACACAGGTCATAACCAGTGATTTTTCAGACTTAGATGTTGACTGGCAAAAAGAACAACATTGGGATCCAAGGATATACACACAGACCCATTTTTTAATTTAGCCCCACTGTGTAACTCCACAGCTCGAAGTGAAGCAGTTTGGTTGGTTAGCAATCGCCCTGTAATTCCCAGAAGAGCCCCTACTTTTCCCTCCCTGGACAGTGGTTGACCTGGGGACACGGGTGCAGTCAGCTGCTGGATAGAGTGCAGGTTGTGCAATGCTAAGCACGGCAGTGCATCAGCTTGTAGTTGGGACCAGCTGCACTGAGTCCGAAAGACCAGGCTCAAAGTCTGTGCTTAACTGGGCACAGTGGGGGCACCCTTAGAATCCCAGCAGCTTGGGAGGCTGAGCCAAAGGGATCCAAAACCAGCCTCAGCAAAAGCAAGGTACTAAGCAACTCAGTGAGACCCTGTCTCTAAATAAAATACAAAATGGGTCTCCCTGAGTTCCCTGGTACCCCTGCCCCTGTCAATAATAATAATAATAATGTCTGCTTAGCTCTTCCTGTTCCAGCGTCTGTTCCTCCCTCTGTTCCAGCCTCCCTCTGCTAAAGTGGTTCTCCACAGGGGCGGGGTCAATGATTTTGCCACACACCCCCTTTTATAGCAGAGTCTGGAGGTGGTTTTGGTTGCCGGCTAGCAGGAAGATGGAAGTGCTACTGACCTCTGGTGGGTGGCAGTTGGGGGGACTGCTGAACTTTACTGGGCCGCTGAGAAACCCGGCAGTCCTCAGGTAATGTGTATGTTAAGGAGCTGTGTCTTTTCTTTGCTCCTCTAGGGCAGGTTCCTTTTGCATTGTCCAGACAGGGATTAATTAAGAGCAGGGAATCACCCTCGCTATCTTCTGAGTCCTCATCTGTAAAATGGGCACGATGATCCCTGGTAGCGGTGTGATGCCAAGTCACGCACTAAACGAGCGAGGAGTCTTAACTACTAGCATCAGGCCAGGGTTGGGACCCAGCAAAGGAGTGGACACTGAGCGCCTCCTACAGCCTCTCACTCCTGAGGCCCAGCATCCCCCGAAGCTCCCGCAGTGGCTAGGGGAATCCTAGTAGGGAGCCCCGGCCTGGACCCCAAGCTGCGCAGTGCCAAGCCTTCTGAATGACGACGGTCGGCGGCCGGGCGACCCATGACCCGCGGCGCCGGCTGCGCCCCTCCCCC